CATATTCATACTACCAATTTATTTATTTATAGGAAATGTCAGATATATATATACGGTATTATATAATGGATGATAATTCATGATCAAAGGTTAAAAAAAATGTTGATTTGAAGTCAATGAAAAGTTGAAAAGTAAATAATATCAAATTAATACGAGATACTCGTAATCATCCATTGTGGAACCCTGAAACATTTTCAGGTCATTTGAGTGATGAAAGTGGACAATTGTCTAAATTTAAGAAAAAATTTGGTGAAGAAATTTACGATTTAGATTTTGTTCAATCCGAAGGAGCGTTACCAGAGATTACTAGTAAAGATATTAGGAAAATAAAAAAGAAGAAAAAACAAATATATAATTATAAAATTTGTTTGTGTTTAAAGAGATTTTGAGAAATTTTTTGGTCTGATTATTCCTAACGCTAATGATTATATAGTAGCAAATACCGATTTTTTTTTTTGGTAGGAAATGGAAAAGGCAGGCCTGATTTAAATATTACTCTTAACTTTTTAACAACATACAATATTTTTTTTTTATAAAATCAATTCATATAAGGCGGTATCAAATTGATTCTCTGTTTTACATCCTCTCTCCTTAAAAAAATAATAATAAATAACTATTCATCCACCAATAAAATTGCGAATTATAGATCACATGATGAGAAATAAGGAAATCGTGCGTTTTTAAAAGTGATCGGCATACACTTACAATCTTTGCCTCTGACTTCCTTTTTTACCTCTAATCTTTCATTTAAAATGATTCATTATATTCCAAGTATATGTAGGTCTCAAAAGTTTGATTCAACCAAGAATTAAAGAAGTAAATGAAGAAAGTTTCTTTTATGAAATATTTGATTCAGCTACTTCAGGTGCAGATATAGGAAGAACAGTTAGAGTTTCAGTTCGTGCCAATGATACAAATCCATGGAAACCTGTAGAGGAAGGATTAGATGGCCGAATGATGCTAATGAAGTCACTTAAATTTTTTCAAGTAAAATTTATGCTTGTTCCCGAAGAAACAACTCATCCATGGACTCTACCACCAAATTTACAAAATGCCTTTGAAAAACTCACGAGTGCTGAGGTTAAACTTCCTGCTCAAAAAAAAGACTCTATAATGAATTATATTAATCACAGACTGTCTTTAATTCAATCTAAACTCAATTCAGAAGCAGCATGCACCTCCACCGTAGCAGCTGCAAAATTCGTGACTATATTAAGTACTATGTTTGTTCAAAAACACGTTGTTTATATTCTGACACAAGATTGACGTCTGAAAAAGCTGGGTCTCTTTGAATTATTAAAGAATCTTTTGATTATTCATGTGATGGGCCGATTTTTCCAGAAGAGCATCCATTTGCAACCAAAACCTGGACCTGTATTCATATTTCGTGTGATTCTCCAATTGAATTGAATGGCTGTATTGTACTTTGAG